AATTGTAAGTAATTACAAATTATCATAATTTATTAGAATTTTATTTATTAATTTGATTGGAACGTAATTTGTTATTTTTTTAAAATGTATTAAATTTTTTAATAATATATTTTTTTAGTTAATATTTTACTTATATAATAGTGATTTAGGTCATAGTGTAATTAAGTATAGTAATTCTACTATTAAGAATTAATGGCAACGTTTAATCGTACGTGTGCATGTAAACAGGATCTTTATTGTGGGTGGTCCTCGTTCAAGATGATATTTTTCTACTTTATCGAAGGTAAACCAGTGATCTTAAGATGCTCCTCGATCATTATGGTTTGTTAAATACACAGAACAAAAACGTGAAGCAGATTAAGCCAGGATACAATTTTATTTATATACACTTGTTATTACACATAAACATATATCTTTTTTCATGATTTATAAATCTTTTTAGAACAAAAATATTCACACAATAAAACATGTAAATCCTAATTATTAGATCTATAGTTAGATCTATTGTTAAATCTATTGTTAGATTTATCGTTAAATCTATGTAGCGTTACCTTGTATAAAACTGAATGCACAATTGATACTTTAAAAAATATTCATTAATTTAACGAAATTTACTTTTGTTTAATTTATTTTTATTTTGTACATATATAAATTAATAATCATTTGACAAATATATTCGATTTATTTGTCAATAAATTTTTATAAATGAATATTCACAAGAGATGATCTTATATTAAAGAGCTATTTTTAAAAAACACGATTTACGTCAAGCTCATGCCCTTGTACTTCTCGTTCATCATGTTAAAGTGTTTGCGATTACGAATATACTTGACTCTTCTTCGGTCATCGACTTTAGTTTCGATTAGTATTCGCCGTTATTTAAATCATTGCATGGTTTCTAAGTCTTTTTATTATGATCAAACAAAACAAATAAATAAATAAATAGAGAGATCACTAAATTATTATTAATGACGATAAAATCATTTTGTTAATATATTATCTTTGTAAATAATGAGTTTTGTTAAAAATACTTATTTATCCAAAAACAAAAAATAAAATCCTAAGTAACTATTTATTTTAATTAATTTAAATTAAAAAAAACGATCCAGACTCGTGCTATATAATATTTTATACGGTTATCATAAAATGAATTTATATACAATGATAATAATTATATATATAATCAGATTTTTATTGCACAATTTACAAAATTTTTTACAATGTCTTATCATGACTTTACTTATATTTTTGAAATAATAATAATTAATTATGATCTATTTTTATAGTAAATAAAATCGATTTCTTCATCATTGAAAATTACCATAAATATATTTAGATATGTTTTCAAACAAATATTTAAATGGAGTATTAAGATATGAGTCATCGTTGTGTTAAATGAGTATAGTAATCGGTTGACGTAAGTTTCAAGCAGTTTGCTAACCAGTTGTTTGAGAAATAACTTATAACGCGAAAACGGGAAAGTATTATTTTCTTCCTTTATCTTTTTTTTTTTATTTTTATTTTAAATTTCAATTTCATCGAAAATTTTTTATCTCATTTATTATTCTTTTTGTAAAGAAGATCAAAGTATACATCAAAGATTGTCCGAAGTAAACTTTCTTCATTTAACTTCTTCTTCTTCTTCCTCTTCTTCTTTGTGAATGTGTAAAAAGATCTTATAAATCTTTCAATATGACTTACCTGTTTCTAAACTTTTTCATCTTGGTTTGCTCGTTGCAATTTTCATTTTGATTTTATTCCTAACGTTGAATATTTAAATTTGATTGATAGATAACAACAAATTCAGAGAAAGAGAGAGAGAGAGAGAGAGAGAGAGAGAGGAGGGATTTGAATATTTTGTTGGAAGTTGAGTGAAAAAAAATCATATGCGAAAACAATTTATGCAAATTTGCGAGCCCTCGTTGTATTTTCGTTATCGAGTTTACCTGCATACACATACAACTAAATATTTGATTAAAACAGAAAAAAGCGTTCGATTTTGCATATCAAATAACCCGTTGATTTACAGTTAATTAACTCTTGTTAATTTTTCATTAAAATCAAATCAACCCACATGTTTCAATCTACTTTAACGTTGAAATCGTTTAAATATTTATTTTACTTTTTTTTTTTGTAAAATTTCTTCTTTTTATTACACTTTAGTAAATATTAAAGGTAAATCTTCCGCAAGACTGAAATGGAAAAAAGAGACGAGTGGGGGCTACTTCGGTTCATCTTTAAATTTCGTAGTTAATTAAATTCAGTACGAAGAGAATGGGAACACTCCTAGGCTAGTTTTTTTTGGATGAAAATACACAATGACTATGCATGGGAATATATGATTGTTATTATTAAATAAAAAACCTTACAAAAATATATTTAGTAAGAGAGATAAAAAAAAATAATGAAATTAAACTACCAGATACCCTAACTCAATGAAATATTAATAGAAAGGCACACCTTAGATACTCGTTAGATTTTTATTGATATTCTCTACAATTTTTGTTTTCCATAGAATATTAATATCCATTAGAAAAAAATTTGTATAATTTCGAAATTCAACAATGCTGTGTCGTTTATAAAAAATAGTTGTAATAAATATTAAACTTTTCCTTTAAAACTTAGAAATTTGTTCACTTGAAATATTTGCATCGAAGATATTTATTTGGTCATATAATTGAAATTGAGACACCCTGTATATGCGAATAAAAATCAAGGTGTATTCGCATTCTTCAACCTTCGAAGGAGAGGTTCCACGAAAAGGTAGAACTATCGATTTCCTTTCATGCTAAAGTAGTCTGGTCAGGTTATAATGCTTGACTACACATTTCTTTCTTTCAGAGTTTCTTTTAACCTTTTATTTTTTGTTGTTATAATAAACGTTCCGCACGATTCATCGAGTAGAACGGTGCTTGAAACGAGTCATTTTTTTAATTGCAAATATCTCGAAAGAATTTTTATTACGCGAAATCACATTCCGTTGCTTAGTAAATTTTAGATCACGGTGAAAGCAACAACAATTGAGAGAAGGTGAATGAACACATAACTTTAATTAATTAATTAATTAATTAAGAGTGTACATTTGTGAAATTGGTTGTAGAATTTGTAATTATACGATTAAATATGTATTTTACCTTGAAACTCTGTTCGCGTGCTTCTCGAATAACAAAAAAAAAATGAATGTTAATCGTAAATCTCTTCTAGAGTTTCATCCTTGAATCAAAATTTCATCTTACCAGGATGTTGGTAACCTTGAAGTTGTAGTTACATCGCGAAGACCGTATTTAGAAGTGCAACGGTAATCATCTCGAGACAATGAACCGGTTTTTGCAAGAGGAAACTTTTGTTTCTTCCTCTCTCGTCTTGGCACTGAACAATTCTCGTTTAATATTATTACTAATTTTTGTCATTTGGCAACGATACAAGAAAAGATACCACCGAATACACATTTATTATTTAGGTCAATGAACTTTTAAGTCATTCAACCATAAATATGCGCAATAAAAAAGAAAATAGTAAAATTAATGAATTATTCTTTTTATTTATTATTAATAAAACAAAATATATTAATTAAATTATTGGATTACTTGGAAAGTTCGTGTCGATTTTTAACAAAACATTTAGGAGTAACAACATTTTTATATTCCAATATGTGCCAATGATAACAATCGCGTACATAAGTAGAACAAATCTAACAAATTGATGATGATTTTAAGATTTATATATATTATAAAACACAAATGTTTTTCTTCAATCTTACCTTAAAGAAAATCAGCACGTACTTTCCAACCAATCAAGATATATTAACATTCATTTTATACGATAAAAAAATAACAATTATAATTAAAAAACAAAAAAAAAAACAAAAATTAACAAGAATATATAATTGAATGATCGTTACATTATACCAAAACCATTTGATATTAAAAAAAATAAAAAACGAAAGAAACAAAAAGAGAAAAAGTGAAAACGATCAAGGTTGCATACTAAACAATATGTTCCGATAGAATGATTTGTCGTTGACCCTAGGTCAGCGACCTTTTGATATACGTAACAGTAACAGTATACCAAGAAGAGAATGATTGTATTTAAAAGCAGGTTTCAGGGTACGTACTATATCGTTATTGTATACGTTCGAAAATGGTAGACTGTTGGTGGTAAAGGAAGAATAAGAGAATCTATGAGAGAACTGGGCCTGATTTCTTACTCTCTCATTCTAACAAAAGCAAATAATACCCCTACTTTACCTTACTGTTTCCACTTTACCTCGTCCGGTTTAACAGAGTAGACCCGTTCTCCAACATAGAAAAAGAAGAAAAAGAAAAAGGAGTAGAAGGAAGAAGAAGAAGGCTTCTTTGATTCCTTTGAAGTTCCTTGATACGTGGCCATCGCGATTGTGGCGCCAACTAGTGTAAAAGATCGGCAAGGAACGATTCTCATTCGCGCCAGCTGTTAGCTGTCGTCGTCTGCAAGACTCCGATCGGTTGCTGCACGTGGTCATATTACATCTTTTTCTCTTATAGTTAGTGTCACTTGATAGATCACATTTAACGTGTAATATTTCTTTGGTTTCTATTTTCTATTTTTTTTTTTAATTTATTTTCTCTTATTATTAATTATAAATAAATAAATAATATTGAAAAGCAAGAAGAAAATCAATAATAATGGCAAAGTGAAAGAAGTGTCCTTTTTTTTGTTTACTATTATATTAATAATTATATATAGAAGTGTTCAGTTTTATTTTTTATGAATAAAATTTAAATAAAAATAATATAAATAAATAATGTCAATATTGCATCTCTCGAAGGAAGGCAGGTAAAAATGGTTATTGATAAAAAACTGCATGGTCATTGTAAATAATTAATACTCGATAGATGACGCTAGGTAACGTTTAAGATAATAAACAGAAATCCTGCGAGAAGATATATCATTCTTTTATTTATAAATAATAAAAAAGAAAAAAAAGAGATATAAAATACAAAAAAATAGATTATGAGATGTGAAAGTTGAGAGAGATGTCTGAACGAACGGATAAGAATTTGTTAACGTCCAAATGTGGGTCACAAAGATCGAGGATCTGTCAAGAACACGGTGAAGAGGATTGTCCTAGTGAAAACGAGCATGAATTTGAATCGTTGGAATACGAAGAGGATGCTTATTATTTGAATTCAACAACTACACCGAGTTTTGACGATATCGACGAACTCGATGACGATGCAGACGAAATTGTTGTCCATTGTTGGAGAGATTCTAACGGTGAAATCGATGAAATCGTTGTTGACGATGCTAATCTTTTATTCGAAACGGAATCGCATCAAACTGAAGAAAATAAGAAATCGGCGACAACACCACCACCACGTGGTTTTCGAAAGAAGAGATCGGTTCGAGTGATATTTCAAGATTTTTCTAAACCATATCTTGAGAAAATAAGCAACAGTCAGAATTATAAGAAGTTTTTAGAATTGATTAAAGGTGCATCGAATTTTATAATATTTCTTTTTTTTTTTTATTATTATTATTTCTCACACTTCGTCGAGAAAAATTAATTTTTTAATTATAACGCGCGAGATTTTTCATGTTATTATCCGTGAAACTTTTCTCAATCTATTAACGTAGTTTATTTATTTTCTTTTTTCTTTTTTCGTTGTAAAATTTATTTGTAATTATTGAAATATTAGTATTTTTTAAAAATAAATTATAATATTTAACACGTACTTGTATATGCTATATTAATTTTAAAAATAATTCATATTTATTGAATTTAAATATATATCTACTAGATATTACATATATATTTTAAGTTATATATTTATATATAAATTGTTTCAAATAAAAGTCAAGCATTAAATATACTAATTATTCAGATTATAAATGAAAAACTTGAAAAATCGATAGGAAAGTATGTCAGAATGAAATCACACACTTATCCTAATTATTTAATTATATAAAATTAACTTTTTTTAAAAATCAGTAAGAGAAGTATGTCCATTCGAATCGCACATAGTTATATCCTTTCAAATATTACATTAGAAATTTTTTTAAATGAGTGATCTAATTAGTAGCCATAATTAGCATTCACGTGTTGATATTTTGGAAAGGAGGTCATTTTATGGTTATCAGACCCGTGAAAGCTTACCACCGGGTTTGGTACTCTCGATAGTTATATATACATATCTATCTATAGTAAGTCCATTATTAGCTGTTAGAAATTGCTCGTAACTTTTATATACGAGACAAAAAAATGGACACAGAGTAGTCAACCGCATACCGTAGTTCCTTTCTTTTGTTCTGGTTAGTAGTAATGCATAAGTATAATAACTATGCACATACATATATATATCAATCTCATCAAGCATCATTTCAATCTTTGACATAGTAATAGTTAAACTAATGATTAATTACACTTTACAATCATTAAGTTTGTCTACATCGTTAATCAATATTTCTTATTCTTTTACTTTCATTACTTTTTATTGTTATTTTTGTTCTTATCAAATTCTAATCAACGCACAAGCCAAATGAATCATTTTCTCATTCCGAAGGTGTAAAAACAAAGCATGTAAAATTCGAATAATATATTAGAATAATAATGTATCAACAACAAGTTATTATTTTCTCATCGTATTGCGGTTTTCCTATATAAAACACAGATTGTAATGTGATCGATAAAACGACAATGATCTACGTTTGTTAGATCTTATAAGACGACTTACTACGACGGTTAACTTACGCAACGATCAAGTTGCATTTCTACGAATAGTGCATAAGTGACTCGATCTGTTTCTCAATCTCCTTTTACATACAATATCGATTTACGTTATAAATAAATTTTAATATAATAACAAATAAAAAGAAAATAAATAAACAAAATCATTATTTTTTTTTACGTATGTTTCGTACATACGATTTTTCATATGTAAAAATTCTTTCATGCATAAAAAAAAACATGATTTTTCACATTTTTTTTACTTGTTTGTTTATCTCGATGAAGTTCTTATTATGGTAATGATCATGAAACTAGATCATCTAGTTTCTTACTTATACGCGTGTTTGAATATATGTATGTGTGTTAAAATTGGTGAGTCATGGAACATGTATTTTAAAACGTATTTCTCGTTTCTGTTGAATAGGAGAGGAAGCCTCTCTTCATTCAGCTGGTTCTCTTTCTCCATCAGCTGACAATGCAGCGAATGAGTTGCAAGGACTCACTTTGGAGGAACAGGAAAAACAGAAGGCTGCCTGGAACATGGAACTTGCTAAGGTACAGATATATATGTTCATATATGTAACATAGATGTCTGTTCTGTATTAGATAGTAGAATACTAATTAAGTTATCTAATATTAATTAAAAGAGAAAGAGAAACACAGGGAAAGGGAGAGAGAGAGAATAAATTAAGTAGATAGTTGGTAGGAGAATTAGATTTATTGAAGCAAATATTGTTAGTCAATTTTATTTAAATTTTTATATATAGAAATTATTTAAAAAAAAATATTAGTTTTTTGTTTTATATATGTAATAGGAAATATATAATAGATAGTTTAAAGTTTGATAAATAAATGAATTATGTGTTAAGATAAAAATAAGATATATAAATTGTTGATTCGATATTTTAATATTTTATAAATTAGTATTAATTAATAATTAGTATTTTAATCATATAATATTATTATAATAATTAACAATTACTTATTGATATAAATAAGTAATAACATTGCTAAACTATAATTAAATAATATCTCGACAAAAGAACACTGTTATAAATAATTTATTTATATTTTATAAGAGAATAATTTATTCAAAAAAGAAACAACAATATGGAATAATTAAATTTCTAAAATAACTATATATATATAAAATGTAAATAAAAAAAGATGAAATATTCGGATAAAATAAAAGATATATAAGAGATAATAATTAATCATTGTATATGATACATGTTATAGATCGAGGAAGATATACAAACACTTAGGCACGTATTGGCTAACAAAGTGAGGGCTTCTCAAGAATTAAAAAGGAAGTTGGGCATAAGCGTTTGGAAAGAACTCACCGATGATGTGAATCAGGGCCTGAAGAACGTTAAGGAGAGTCAAGTGTACGTGTGACTCTTTTTAAACGTGTGTTGTGTGTTGTATAGAAAGTAACTACCTGTCGTTTTTCTTCTGCCACCTTAAATTCATTTTCATTTTATCATATATATTTGTCGACACTATCATTCGTCATTGTTTTTCACAAGCACATACGCACGCACGCACGCACGCACACGCACACTCATATGCATAAACTCACAAAACACATACTTCTTAAATGTACATACTACTGGTGTCGGAAGCATATAAGAGAGGTGTCGAGCAACAAATCACCGCATGATTGATTGGTTTGTTCGATCATGTTAAAAAGCAGTATTGATTTATTCATAACATCGACCAATGATATCGGATAATAATCGCTTTACTATTAAATATTTGTTCGTCGATAACATATTACCCGTTAAAAAGTATTGCTTTCAATTTCTAAGATTTCAATACACACACATACACACACGCACGCATAAGATATATATATGTATGTATTCTTATGCAGTAAATATTAAAAGCAGTAGAGCTTGGTATTTGGAGAAAGCTTACTAGCGAGTAAAAGTATTCCAAGGACGTTAACGTTAGTATTATATTAAAAGTTTTTTTATCTAACAATAAGTTTTGTTTTACGTTACATTTTTATTTTTTTCTTTTTCTTATCGATCGTAATTTTTTTCGTTAACTTTTGTAGAAATTTTTCTTACTTCACTCTCGTGCTTGCAATTAGATTTCATTTTTACGTTTGTAACGTTGATTTGTTTTTTATACACGCTGAAGAAATTTTCTTTTGGTTTTTTTTTTCTTTTTTTAATCGTTTTTTTAATTTCGTTGTCAATTTTTATATACTTATTTTTCTATAAGTTTTTTTTTGTTTTAGCAGAAACGTGAAAGAAAGATGATAATAAATGGTCATGCTTTTTATTTTTTTCTTTTCCTCTTTATTTTTTTCTTCTACTTTCTCTCATCAGACACGTAGATTATTTCTTTTCTTTGACTTTTGGTTGGGTTCTTATTCAGTTATCAGAATGTTGGAGAGAAACTCGGTCAGTTCAGCAAGGCGATTACCGACAACAGTTTGTAAGTACGCAAACAATAGTTTTTGCTATCAGAAATCAAACGTTCCTTTCTCTAATCAATGTTCTTATCATTCCTCTTCAATTTCACTTAACATCGAATGATATTAGTTCGGTGTTTTATTTTACTTTGTATTTCCTTTTTTTTCCTTTTTATTTTTTTTTTTATTTTTATTTTTTTTTTTTTAAGTTACTTATCATTTAACACAAATTTTCGCTTATATCTCGCATGCTACTTATATCACGCAAGCTTGTCATTAATTTTAGACTAGTGTTGATTTGTATTTTAATTATGATCACGTATTCAAATACTTTATGTTTTTCGAATAATATTTATACGACTAATTTTAATAATATATATATGTGTGTTTGAGAAAGAACAAACAAACGTGTGTAAGAAAATCAACATCACGTTTTATCCTTACATAAAAAATGATTACCCAAAATAATATTTATTGTTATCAACTAATTTTCTATTACTTTTTGTTGTTGTTGGTTCTAAATAGAATATATATATATGTTAATTATAATTTTGTTACTTTTATTAGATTTCAAAAGACGGAGTCGGTGTTTAAAACTACGGCTGAGAAGACTACGAGCATTCTTGGTGGTTTTGGCAGTGGAATTTCTATGAAATTAGGTCAAATGCGTAATTCCGATAGTTTCCGTTCTCTGGAAGAAAGAGTTGGATCTGCTTATGAAAACGTTAAGGTACGTTTATATTTAAATAGATAATAGTATAATATGTTTTGAAAAATATATTAAGTTTGCTTTATGAAATTCAGAATAAAAAATATGTGAAGTTCAACGGTAGAAGTATACGTAGCGTTCACAAGTATGTTCAAATTTAGTTCATCTAAAATTGAATTAAACGATTGTAATTTTTTCGTAAGTATTATATACATGTGTGTGTGTGTGTGTGTGTACGCGTGCGTAGAAAATTCTTTGCATTATAATTTATCTGCTTAGTTAGTTTGTTGTTAATTGTGATCTAATAATTTTTTTTCTGCTTTTAATACAAATTTTGTTCGATAAATTGTTTTTCTTAATTGGTTAATAATATTTAAATAAAAATTATTTAATATACAAATAAATATTGCATTGCAAAGTAACTGACCAGAAAAGTTATCTAAAAATATAAACCCATTATAAAAATTAATAATAATTATATAAAAATTATTTATTTACTTATTTTATATCTTATTATTTTTGTCATATTCTCAATGATCATTTTATAAAGCAAAGAATTAAAACAAAAATTAGTTTATATATATATATATGAGTGACAATATTTATTAAATATGAAATATTTGATTGATGTTTTTCTTTTTGTAGACAAAAGTCGTGCCTTCGAGATCTAATTCAACGCAAAGTTTTGACGATGCATTACGAGAAACAGAAGCAACGAGACGTGCATCAGCAGCACCATCGGCAACCAGTCCGACCATTCCCGAGGACAAACTTCTATCTTAGAATTGGTTTTCAACTCTTAACGGTCACTTGTCTCTCCTTTTCCGCGCTACACACGCCAACGATTACTATAATCGAATTAATAATTCGATTAACGAATCGATTATCCTTATCTTCACACTACGCTCTATTATTAATTAATTAATCGTCCATTGCATTTTTATAATAATCGGAGCTAATCCGCTGAAATAAGTGTATGGGATGGAGAGAAATTATTATTATTATTATTATTACTATTACTATTACTATTACTATTATTTTATTTTATTAATTTTATTATTATTTTATTATTAAAATATAATTATTATTATCAGTATATGTTAAAGGAAGAAAAAAATGGACCATGAGCCTACAAGAAAAAGAAAAACAACACAATAATTAAGAAAATTTATTTAAGTTTTCGCTGATCGTTTTACAAAATTATTATTATTATTATTATTATTATTATTATATTGATATGATGTTTATATATTTTGCGACGTAGCGAACAATAACGTTATAAGCTAAAAAGGTAGAGGAAAAATGTATTGTTCTTTTTAATTGATTTTGGATAGAAGAAAAAAAAAACCTACCGCAGGTTTATAACAGATTGTTCGATAATGTTGCTGGTGATAAACAAAAAAAAAACGACACGTAACCTCGCAATCGAAGTGGATATTTTAACGAGGCTTTCTCGTGTAACAACCGTGCATGTTTTCTTTCTTTATTATTTATTTTTCTATCGTTTATACATTTTTCCTTTTTCTTTTCTTTCATTTTTATTTTTTGCACGAAGTAAATATGGTTTTCTTTTTTTCTTCTTACGCGACAAGTAGGTTCGTGGTAGATCAAAGAGCTTATTTTGTTCTTTTTATTTTTATTAATAATTTTCATGATTTTTCTTCCTTTCATTCTTCTGATTCTTTTTTTTTTTTTTCTATAAGTTTCTTTTAGTTTTTTTTTCCCCCCCCCACCCACCCTTTAAAATATAAATCATATTTCAAACGAGAGATATTAGATTTTAGCACTGCTACACACGGGCACTGTGATTTTTTATTGAATTTTGAGTATAAATATACGACGAAGCATTTTAATATTGAAAAGTATATGGTTGAGAGAGATAAAACAGAAAAAAAAAAATAAAAATAAAAATAACGAATCGCTAATAAAACCCGAAAAGAAAAGAAATACACACGAATATATACAAATTATATTTCAATTAAATCATTTCTTCTGCTTATTTTTTGTTGTCGTTGTTCTTGCACTTTAAGTTGGATAAACGTTAAACATTTGACTAAGCACTTATTTAAATATATTATATTTTGTATTGACTATATATATATATATATATATAGTTCGTTATCTTATTTTTTATTCTTCTTTCTCTTATTTGTTTCTTTTGTTTTTTCTTTCTTTTTTTTAATTTCGCAATAAACGTCAATCGTTTGAAAAACGATTATCGGTGGTAATAAGATAAAACAAACTACTTCTTAATGATCGTGGATCATACCCGTCCTTCGACAATACTGAATTTAAAACTATTCACAAGAACATGGATCACGATCGTTCACTGCTATACAAATGCATACACATAAAAACATATATATATAAATAATATATATATATACATATATATATCTATATGTATATATTATATTTTATGGCAAATTTAATTTCATCATTGATATTTAGAAATATCATATATATATATAGCAACTAAAGTTTGCTCGCCAAATAAATCAATCATTGTTCACGCTCTATCAGTTTAATTTTTAAATAAATAAATGAAGAAAATCGACCAAACAAGAGAAGTGTTAAAAAAATTAAATAAAATTCAATCGATCGATCAATAATTATAAACTTTGAGTAAACATCGAATATAATATGAAATTTTAAATATTAGTTACTTTTCTAAACACGCGAGTAAAAGAGCTACGAAAAAAATATTCTTAAGATATTATTAATAACAGAAACAAATGCATGCGAAGAAGGTAAAGATACGAATTAAGAGAAACGGTCTAATGATATATAAAAATGAAAAAAAATCGGAAAACGAAGAGATGACAATGATGTGTTGGTGATGATAAACGAGGGTAAGTAGTATGATATAATAGCTACGTATTTAATTAATTATTAATTAATAACAATTTTTAAAAAATGAAGCGAGCTAATCTTATGTGAAGCCTTACAGACGTACAGTGAATTACTTACTATATATATTTTCTAAACGAGTTAGAAAGTATAGAAAGAATTAAATAATAATTATAAAAAAAAAAGAGAAGGAAGCAAGAAAAAATTAGTTAAGAATATTTTCTATTGTAGCTTTTTAAAAAAAGGGAAACATTAAAATAATATAAGGAAAAATCACGGTGGCTGAAAATGCGTTTGCTTGCTAATCTTTAAGCACATATACACACACACACATACACATGCTGCGTATATGTATGATGTTGTTCACACACTGGCGCGAACTTCTGGAATATTTATTTAACACAAACACACAGAAACAGACACTGACATACTTATAGATAGACATACGTACGTGTATTCATTGAAAATGCTGCCTCTGAGAATTTTACTCATCAATATTGTCCAAACGCGTCGATAATCATGAATTATCCATATATATATATCTTACCGGCATTTATCGGTCATAGGCTGCTGCATAATCTGCATCTTCTTGTTCATATTGGTCAAATAAATTATTTTACGAAAAGGCAAATGATCAGCTATGAAATACATACATTTTTACATATGTATAAATATTCAGGGTTTTCTGTAATTGATGATATTATCAAATAGGAAGTGATTTTACATGTTTAAGATTTTATTTTCTATGTAATATCACGCATTGATCTTTTTTACCATTAGTTACAGGACACCTTGTATATCTCCTTTCCCATGATACCTATATGATTTAAAATACTCATGATTCGTGTTAAATAACTAGGAGAAATTTTTAACAACTCATTTGTTCAATACTCTTATTTTTGTCTCGTCCAACTTCATTAAATATTTCACATTTAATTAAATTATTAATAATTATTATATTGAAATATTTTTCAATATCTATATTAAAATGCTAAAAAAATCCAAATCACAATAAAACGATGGTTGGCAATGGAATTGATGATTCTATACAGTAATTCGTCAATGATATAATAATTTGTAATAAAATAATTTAATCGTATATAACATGTTTATAAAATATATTAATCAAGGATTTAAGTGTCTGTGGAATAATAATTCAACGATATTAAAAGTATCTATTTTAATAATTCGTCTAATACGAATTTCGTAATTAATCTATTAAATCATAGATAATTAACTTAAAAGTAAAAATCGTTAAGATTAATCAAAAAAAAGGGATTTTTAAAAAAAGAATTAAACATCTACTTTATTTTCATCCTGCACGTTGGTACAAAACATTATTATTCTTTTTTTTTTACTTTTTTTTTTTCTCGTGCGCGTATTATCATATTACGCCTAAGTACAAAACAAATAAACAAGAAAAAGAAGAAAAAACGAAGGAGGATGAATTATTTTCTCTCTAATTAATTAATTAATTAATTAATTATATATATAAAAAAAAAAAATAGAAAATAGCGATATTACACACACATCACTATTTTTCGATTGTCGCAGCAACGCAATTTCCTTCGAGAGTGAAAAAAGAAATTGAAGATAATAATAAAAAGATGAAAAAGAAGAAAGAGAGCTGCATGTTGCTAACTTACACATACATATTTTTCTATACGTGTATCATGTGTAAATACATATATATATATATATCTGTATTGCATACATATAATTTGTCGTATCTCTGTGTGTGTATTTAGATTTATATGCATATTCATATATATTGGTATATATTACACATACACACATATATATAGATATATATATTACGACTTCGTTAACAACATAAAATGTAATTATTCACATAACAGAGTAATCTGCGATATCTATAAAAAAAAAAAAAAATCATTACAACGATCTGGTTTTGTACTTAATAGGCCGACGCTTAAAATCGTACTATATATTTGATCGTAGATACGTCCGAGACATTATTTTCATTTTAAACTAACCAAATCACACGTTATTTTGTTTATATATTTTTACGCGTATTTTTTCCTTTAATTATAATATTACAATAATAATAATAATAACAATAATAATAATAATAATAATAATAATAATAAAATTATTAATGATAATCAATGACGGTATGAATTAGTATTTT